CCTAGTCCGCCATCTTGCCCCGCCTCCCCAACATAAACCATCTTAAAGTGAGCCGCTCAGTGGAATTTCGTGTAGTCACTTTGTTGTGAGACCGTGGCCTTCCTGGACAGTGTTAGCTCCTCACCGCTTGGTTTTGCCCAGCCTTTCCCGTAAGGGCTGCTCTCTCCCCATCTAATTCCATGCTTTGCTCTGTCTACAGGGAAGCTTCGTGGCTTGTATGACAGCTATTCTGCGACAAATGGAAGACTATCATTATGCCCACTTGATCAAGACTTTTGGGAAAATGAGGACGGATGTTGTGGTGAGTGCTGGCTTTGACTTTTTCGTATAACTGTGTTTTGGGGGCCAGTGTTGGCAGGCAGACAAGTCAACAATCCCATCGACATAAAGGTGTCCATTTTAAGTAGGCATTTTTATGGGAACTTGCCTCCCATTGATTCCAGAAGGCACCTGGGATACCTGACTGGAGCCGGGGGATGGAAGGAGAAGGGCTGAGCTGCACTCCTGCTTCTTCCCCCGAATTGAGGAATGACTCAAGGTCTTAAGCCCAGAGAAAATGGCTTTTCCTTCTGGCCACCATACTGTTTCTCCACTTGTGATTTGGGATCGTTGAAATTTTGGAGGTGTTACCCATGTTGCCAGAAAGGACCATTCCCTGGAGAAGGATATCATGCTTGGTAAGGTGGAGGGTCAACGAAAAAGGGGAAAGCCCTCAATAAAATGGGTAGACACAGTGGCTGCAACGATGTGGTCACGTATAGCAAGGATTGTGAGGCTGGCATAGGACTGGGCAGTGTTTCACTCTGTTTTACGTGGGGTCACTATGAGTTGGAGCCGACTCAGGGGCACTTAACACCACTGCCACCACCACCATGGACAGAGTTCCAGGAACTTCTTTCCGTGCGTCGATTGACTGCTCTGTCTCAGAAGCTGGAGCGCTGTTGTGGCCTTAAATTGTGCAATTGTTCTTCACTGTTAGCTGCGGTCATGAAAGCTCAGGAGCATCTCTCCACATCGTCCCTAGCCATCCTTAGTGACACTATGATACAGCGTAATCAGGGAGAGTGTAATGGAGAGGGGTTTATTGTGCAGGTGCTACCTCGGTGATGACCTCAAATTGCATTCCATATGCGAGAAGCTCTGCAGAGCTGCAGCCACGCTTGTCGCGAGGCTCCCAGTTAGGTTTGACCACAAGTCTGAGGTCCCGTTTCTAAGGACTCGCACATCTCCTACAGAACACAGCGAGGGCTTGGAGTGCCTCTTCTTTTTTACTGTGATCTGGGTGAAGGTTTACAGGGCAAATTGGTTTTCCATTCAACGGTTCATACACATTTTGATGCAGAGCGTTGTAATCCCCACAGTGTCATAGCACTCCTCTCCTTCCACCTCCTCCCTAGGGGACTGTTTCTGTCTGTCTTTCCTGCCTTCTGATCTTCCTCCTGCGCAAATGCTGCCCTTTTAAGCTCAGGGGGTTGATGGTTCTAAGAGCTGTGTACCTCCCTGGTATTATTGTTCATCTTACAGACCTGTTGGGCCCGTAGTTGAGTCATGGGGTGAGGTCACTTTCAGGCCTGAAAGGTGTCTAAGGGAATTCTCGTGTTTTCAATTCAAGGTTTGTTGCCCTTGACATATTCCTAGTTAAGGGATAGGAAGAAGAGAATGCTTTTTATAATTTGAAAAAAATGGTTATCTCAAAATGAAAAGGTTCTTATTGTTTATTACATATGTATCTATACACACACACACACACACACATATACATACATGCAATTAAAAATACATACTTTTAAATTTCTTAAAACAACAAAAATACACTAACACTTTATAAACATAGCCATTTCTACAAATAAATAAGAATGTGTATGTGTTTGTGGGTCTGTGTTTGGGGTTTTGTTTTCAATTTAAAGTAGGTGTTCTGGTTCCCTAGTGCCGCTCTGACAGGAATATACCATGAATGGGATAGCCTTAACAAACAGTTGTTTATTCCCTTACAGTTTGAAGGCTTTAAGTCCAGGTTTAAAGTGCCAGGCTCTAAAGGCTGTGTGAAAGCCCCTTGACGTTTGGCTTCAGTCTGCCTCTTGCTGCCAGCCCCCTGAAGCTAGAGGCATTTCTTCCATCAGACAGCTAATGGCTGCTGAGGCTAACAAGCCCAAGGTCAACAAATAAAATGGCATAGTCCTGATGTTACCAAACCACATGGCAGGCCATTCATTCAAGTCCATGGAAAGTCCCAGGGTCAGCAGAGCATGGCAAGCTGCTGAGCAATGACAAGGCTACATGTAGGGTTCAAGCATGCCATGGGCTAGAGACCCTTCCCAAAGCTGTTTCTTATATACGGGAAGCAGACCACGTGCCAAAGAAGCTACTCAGCTGCTCCCAGTAGATTCCACCATGGAGCTGATTACCAGTCTCATCATGGGAAATACTACATCCAGCTGCCTAGCTATTCAACCAGGCCCAGCCAAGTTCACACACAAACGTAACCACCACAGAAGGGATATTTTCAGATAGTTCAAATATTTAATGCATATCACATTTATATCCCATGACTCTTCGGTGATAATGGCAAAGTGAAGTCAGATGTTATATTTGTTACATTTTATGCCACATTTGAATCTTAAATAAATAATGATCTGGCCCTGTTTGGGGGAGGGGAAGGAGTAGTTGAAGGCAGAACACATAGGAACAATTTCGTAGATGAAATTCCAGGCTGAGTCATAAAGCGCTGAGAGTGAGAAGCATCCTGAAGAGTTATGTTTGCAATTAATAATTTACCCTGATCAGCAGAGCCATGTGGTCAGAATCTATACACATCAACTGTTAAAAATATTTCACGTGAACTGTAAGAGTGCTGCCGACAGGGAAACTTCAGTGTGTTATGAAAAATATATACAAAACAGTGTTGAACAAAAAGCACAAAAATTTGCTGGCTTCTGATAGCACGCAGTCTGTCCTTTGGCGGAACGGGAGCAGGTATTTACTAAAAGCTGTGGTCCTGATTTCCCATGAGACTTTTTTCCTTAGATACAGCAATTTCAAAAATCAATTATTTGCAGACAATTTGATTTCCATTATAAAAAGGCATTTGTGATTTGACCATCACAATTCCTGCTGCAGGGAATATTATTTATGACATATTTATAGGCCTTTTCCATTCTGGTTAATCCGTCATAACCTTTGTTCACGTCTTCCTATCCATTAACTCTGCATGGAGAGGATCACCCAATCACGGCCTAAATACGACATGGCCGTGTGTGAAATGGGCTATCTTGGCAGTTAAGCACTCAGCTGTTAACCACAAGATCAGTGGTTTGAACCCACCAGCTGCTCACAGGAGAAAGATGCACCGTCTGCTTCTGTAAAGATTATTGTTGTTGTTACGTGCCATCGAGTCGGCCCCAACTCATAGCGACCCCTCCTTGGGTTTCCAAGGCAGTATCACTACAGAAGTAGGATTGCCCAGCCTTCCTTCCGAGGAGTGGCTGGTGGGTTTGAACCACCAACCTTCTGGTTAGCAGTCAAGTGCCTTAGGCACTAAGCCACCAGAACTCCTTGGAAACCCTATGGACCAGTTCTACTCCATCCTTACATGGTCACTATGAGTTGGCATTGACTTGATGACGAGTTTGGTTTGAGTGTATTAAGTGAATGGAAGTTAGTCATCCAGCATGAAAACATCTCAGACCGTTTTATCAACACTACTTCCTTCTAACAGGTGCTGCTTCACCTTTCCATATTTAGCCTTTGCTGGTTGGGTGAGTCATTCCCACGCGAAATTACGTTTATCACCAGCAGCGAAGTCACATGCCAGAGAGCTGTTTCTTTCACAGTCTCTCCAATGGCCCCTCGAACCCCCGGACAGTGAGTGTACAGGGCATTGTATGAGACTGAAAGCCTGGCCTAGAGAAGGGGGGGAATGGATGGGCTGAACGCCACACTCTCCCACGGAGGCAGTCCCTTTAAGATGGCCAGCCCATTCCTCTCCAGTGGGCAAGCCCCTCTGCCACACAGGCTGCCAGCTGCCCTGTGTCAACGTCCAATATCAGGAACAAAAGCAGAGGTGTTGCTCAGGATCCCCACAGTAAGAGAGAAGGAGAAAAGGAGGGCTCCGGACTGTCCAGGCAAGAGTGCCACCTTGTCACTTGTCCCAGTTTCCCACTTATCAGCTGCCATCCAGTGGATACCGTCATGGTGAGCCCGTGTGAATCAGAGTCGAACTGGCTTTTAGGGCTGTGACCTTTGGGAAGCAGGTCACCAAGTCTTCCTTCCGAGGTGCTTCTGGCTAGGTTCAAACCTCCAACCTTTTGCCCAGTAGCCCAGTGTGTTAGCCATTTGTCCACCCAGGCCCTAATAACTTGTCTGCTGAGTGACTGGGTGAACAGTGATTTACTGAAGGACAGTACTGGCTTTGCTTGCTGGTTACACGGGATAAAGGACCACGGATGGTTGTCAGAGGGGTACTGCTGCCCTCTCACCACCAGCCCAGCCTCCTGCACTGGCTTGTTTGCTCCTGTGCAGCCTCTCCCTCTCCCCTTGGGCTCTTCAGCACCGATCCACTCATTGGTCACCTCGGGGAGCAGAGCGAGGCAAGAATCTGAACCTCAGCACACTCCAGACCCTCTTCCTGGAGCACCCTTCCCCTCATGCAGTGTCAGTCCAGCCCTTCTGTGAACCAGTTCCTGATACCTGTCCTGGTCTCGCCAGGCAGACATAGGCCTTTTGGCCCAATTGTCTACACCAGTCACCCATCAGCCTGTGTTGTACTGGTCCAGGATGACTTCTTACAGGTGGGAAGAGGAGAGTGAGGATGCTCACTGGATTCAGAAAGCTAGAAGGCCTGAAAAGCCTGCCCTGGGAAACCTTCTGCTTGGGAGGCCTGTGTATCTTCAAGAACCTGGGATGCCATGTGAAACAGCTACAAATGGCTGATTGGAAAGCTCCTGCTTACATCGTGATTGGAAAGCAAAGCCAAGCTTCACACATCTGTTTCTTTGTTCCTGTGACCGGTCCCTTATAAATGAAGCTTTGATGAAGGCTCTCCACACTGGACCATGACTCTGGGATCCAGGGTCCTGCCACATTGAATTCACTCAATGGTATTTACTGAACACAACTCCACACCCCTGCTGGGGAAGAAACCATGATACACATAGCAGACATCTGCCCTCACGGGCTACCTTTTAGTGGAGAAGACCACAGTTAACCAGAACCACACTCCAGTTCACCCAAATTATCCATGCAACAACAGAATGGTACTTGGGAAATAGGCAGACTGAGCAAGGCAGGTTGGAAGCCTTCTGT